CCAGGCCATAGGGGGCTGTGGGAAGCGGTGCAGGCCGAGGGATGTGCTGGCTGCCGCTTCCCGCCACCCTCATTGGCCTGGAGCGGCAAACCGTGGCCACTGGGAGCCGCGATCGACCAAACCTACAGACACGGCAGGTAAACAATGCTGGATGCAAAGCGGGGTTTAGGGTGGAGTCTGACAGCTCGCAACCTCCCATGTAATAACCTCACGACCCCCTGAGGGGTCCCGACCCTCAGTTAGAAAACCCCTGATTTATGGAATGCCAACACCACTTCCTGCAGCACCTTGATCTTTTTCTTGAAGATCTTAAATACTGACCAGGTCTGATCCTACTTAATGTGATATCTAATGAAATCCCAACTGTAGTTTGAGCAATACAACACCTAACATTCCAAAGTGAAGATATTCTTATCGTCATTGCATCATCTGAAACAAATGTCAGTGCAAATGTATAGAATCACAGAAATATAGGACTGGAAGGGACCTCGAAAAGTCATCATGTCCAGACCCCTACACTGAGGCAGGACTCTACCTACACTGTACCTGACAGGTGTTCTTAAAAACTTCCCTTGGAAGCCTATTCCAGAGCTTACCTATCCTTACAATTAGAAAGTGTTTCCTAATATCTAACCTAAATGTCCCTTGATGAAGATTAAGCCCAGCTCTGTCCTCATTATAATAGCATTTACCGTATTTGATGACTTATCAGGTCCCCCCTCAGTCTTCTTTTCCCAAGACTAAACACACCTAGTTTTTTTTTAACCTCTCTTCATAGGGCAGATTTGCTAAACCTTTTATCACTTTTGCTGCTTTCCTCTGGACTCTTTCCAATTTGTTCATATCTTTCCTAAAGTGTGGCGCCCAGAATTGGATACAGCACTCCAGCTGATGCCTCACTAGTGCCAAGTAAAGCAGGACAATTACTTCCTGTGTCTTACACACGACACTTTTTTTGATACACCCCAGAATTATATTAGCCTTCTTCTATCACTGCATCACATAACAATGTGACTCTCATTCAATTTGTGATCCATTATAATCCCTCAGATCCTTTTCAGCAGCAGTACTATCACCAGTTATTCCCTATTTTGTAGTTGTGCATTTGATTTTTCCTTCCTAAGCAAGGTACTTTGCATTCGTCTTTATTGAATTTCATCTTTCTGAATTCAGACTAATTTTCCAATTTGTCACAGTCATTTTGAATTCTAATCCTGTCTTTCAAAGTACTTGCAACCCCTCCCAGCTTGCTGTCATCTGCAAATTATATAAGCATATTCTCCACTTCATTAATTAAGTCATTAATGAAAATACTGAAAAGTACTAGACCCAGGACTGACTGAGGTGGGACCTCACTAGACATGCCCTCCCAGTTTGAAATCAAACCACTGACTACAACTCTTTCAGTATAATCTTTCAACAAGTTATGCACCCAAATTACAGTAAATTCATCTAGACTGCATTTCCCTAGTTTACTTATGAAAATGTTATGTGAGACTATATCAAAAGCCTTACTACTATCAAGACATATCTGGTCTATTACTTCTCCCCTATCCAGTAGGCCAGTAATCTTGTTAAAGAAGGAAATTCGATTGGTTTGGCAAGATTTGTTATTTACAAATTCATTTTGGCTATTCTTATAACCCTATTATCCCCTTACAAACTGATTGTTTAATAATTTGCTCCAGTATCTTTCTATGTATCAAAGTTAGGCTATAATTCCCTGGGTCCTCTTTGTTCCAATGTTTAAAGACAGGTACTATATTTGCCCTTCCCCATGAGAAGGGCCTCACCTGTCCTCCATGAGTTCTCAAAGATAACTGAGAACAGTTCAGAGATTACTTCAGCTAGTTCCTTCAGTACCTTAGGATGAATTTCCTCAGGCCCTGTCAACTTGAATACATCTAACTTATTTAAATATTTTTTAACCTCTTCTTTCACTATTTTGGCTTGCATTCCTCCCCCCATGTTGTTAATATTAATTGTGTTGAGTATGTGGTCACCACTAACCTTTTTAGTGAAGACTGAAGCAAAATATCAGAGGGGTAGCCGTGTTAGTCTGAATCTGTAAAAAGCAACAGAGGGTCCTGTGGCACCTTTCTGTTAGTCTTAAAGGTGCCACAGGACCCTCTGAAGCAAAATAGGCATTAAACACCTCAGCCTTCTTGAGGTCACCAGTTATTAGCTCTCCTTCCCTGTTAAGTAGAGTACCTACACTTTCTTTTGTCTTTCTCTTGCTCCTAACGTATTTAAAGAACCTCTTTCTTACTGTCTTTTATGCATCTTGCTAGGTGTAACTTATTTTGTACCTTAGCCTTATCCCTACAGGCTTGTGAAATTCTTTTGTACTTCCTCAGCTATTCTTCCATGTTTTCACCTTTTGTGGGATTCCTTTTTCATTTTCAGGTCATTAAAGAGCTCCTGATGAAGCCACAAGGGCCTCTTTCTATTCTTCCTATATTTCCTTGACATCAGCATAGCTTGCAGTTGCATCTTCAATACTTTCTCCATGAGAAATTGCCAGCTCTCCTGTATACCTTTAGACCCATTAGACCTTACCCACCAGTTCTCTGAATTTGTTAAAGCCTGCTTTTTCAAATCCATTGTCCTTATTCTGCTGCTTTCACTCTTTCCTTTCTTTAGAATGATTAAATCTATCACTTCATGATCACTTTCACTCAACTTGCCTTCCACCTTCAGATTCACAACCAATTCCTCCCTGTTGGTCAGAATCAAGTTTACAGTGGCTGTCCCCCAGGTTATTTCTTCCACTTTCTGAAACAAATAAGTTTTGCCCAACACAGTCCAAGAACTTACTGGAAATTCTGTGTTTTCCCATCTTACAGGTGTCTGGGTAGTTCAAGTCCTGTATTAGTACCATGTCTTGTGTTTTGGATATTTCTGTTATTTGTTCTATAAATGACTCATCCACCTTCTCTTCCTGATTTGGTGGTCTACCGTAGACCCCTACCATTCTCTTCCTGATTTGGTGGTCTACCGTAGACCCCTACCATGATGTGATCCCTAATTATTAACTGACGTATCACGTCTTTAGTTTATTCAGACACAATGATGATTCTGATTTCATCTCAACAGGTCTGAGTAGCTATTTCACCTGCAGTGAGTTTTTTAAATTTATACAACAAAAGGTACTATCCCACAATAAAAAATGAAGACCAAATCCTGCATAAGATCCAGAAGAATGGACCCCTGTGTCTCTGTGGATTGCCAATGAAATCCATGGGGATACACCCAGGTGCATGGGCTCCCGCAAACAGATCCAGTTGCAAGACTGGGGCCAAAATAAAAAGTTATTCTTCCTCCTCAGACTTAAGCTAACTTTTAATTAGCGTGCCAAAAACAAAAAAGGAAAAAAATATTCAATAGCAATATCTTTCACACTTAGTGAGAAAAATTAACGGGTTTTGTCTCCATCTTAATAAGGAATTGTTTAATTAAATTATTAAATTAAATTAGTTAATATAATTAATAGTTTAATTAAAATAATTTAGCTGAACAGTGTTAAAGCCTTCAAATTTTCAAAACTTGCTTTTGAGTTTTTCTAGTTTTTCTTAATTTATCCAGAAATCCAGAATACTTTGTAAATCCTATTTATGAATCAGATTAAAGTATATTTCAGGAAAAATGTATTAAATTCATGCGTTAAAAAAATCCCTTGATCTATTACTATTAAATTCCACAGAAAAGACTGCTAATATTTAATGAGCACTGTTAACCAGCTATTTAAGCATAAAATTTAAACTACTATAATATGATTCTAATTCTTGTTAAAATACGGTGGGTTTTTTGTTTTGTTTTGTTTTTAAACCAAATCCACCTATTCCCTTACCAAGAAAATATACTCTAAATTCAGTTTATATAAAGACCTATAGTTTGGGCTCTATAGCTAAAGAGCAACACCTCTTCTTGCTGATTAACTAATGAACTGTGAACACAGATAAGATCATAGAATATCAGGGTTGGAAGGTACCTCAGGAGGTCATCTAGTCCAACCCCCTGCTCAAAGCAAGACCACTCCCCAGACAGATTTTTACCCCAGTTCCCTAAATGGCCCCCTCAGGGATTGAACTCACAACCCTGGGTTTAGCAGGCCAATGCTCAAACCACTGAGCTATCCCTCCCCCTTAAGATGACTTAACTGATTGCATATGTGGCCAACTGTTCCACAACATCACAATGGGGGGGGAGAGAAAAAGGGGGGGGGGGGTTCTTCAACCATCTGATTAGTTTGTGCTCTGAAATATTACAATTATAGACCTTGTAAATGGTAGCGTAGCTAGAGTAACTCTAGGATTTATTGTTATTCATTTACTTTTCTAATCTTGTTTTAAATCTCAATGAACTATTTTCCTCAACAGACATCCTGCATAGGTGTTACCAAAGTCATTTATGTGTTGCTCAAAAGTATTTTTAAACTCGAATGAATGTTTGGAAACAAAAAAAAAATTTGATAGTGAAATATTCGTATCACCTAAAAGAGTATTAAACAGAATGTAAAAAATTATATAATATTACAAAGAAATAAATGACTTTTTAAATAAGAAAACTTGTTTTTTATTTTATCAACGAGGTTTAGAAAAATCCTGAGTCTTCTATATCTGCTTATGTAATGCCTTCACAAAACATTACAAATATTAACATTTTGCAACAGGAGAAACAATGGTTAAGTCCTATTATCAAGAAAGTAATTGGTGCACTAAGTTTTCCTTCTCAAAGACATCTAAATACTTGTAAGGCCTCCATTACCATAGAATCGAGCATTTGCTAAGTATTTACAAATAAACAATCAGTCTCTTTCCTTCTTACTTCTCACTCAATAGGAGAAATAGCTTGTGTGTATATAGAGGTTATTGAGCAAAAGCTAAGTCAAAGAGAAAAGTTTTCAATTTCATGCTGAACATTGTATGGTTAGTGTATTTCATTATATGTGAATCACAATTCAAAATGTTTATCTGAGATGGTCTACACCAGCACCTTACCCATCAAGAAGATTCATTGTTGTTGATGTGACTTCAGCAAACAGAACAATCTTCCCAAGCTTCTTTGTTTGCAGATTGTGTTGATATGTCTGCAGGCTGAAGTGTTCAGATGAGAAGCCTCCCACAGTGACGACTGGTATGAGAGATTGTGTTATTTCCATCTCCGGCTTGTAAGATGAGACAAATTTAAGGGTCATCTTGCTGGATTTTATTAATCCTTCAACATCTACTTTTGTTTCAAGCCATTTCAGAAAAGAAATATGATTTTCCTGTGGAGAGGAAAATGAGAGAAATATGCACAACTGCACATTAATGCACACAAACTTTCTTCTGAGAATGTCTATATCAAAAGGTTTCAGAGGGGTAGCCGTGTTAGTCTGTATCAGCAAAAACAACGAGGAGTCCTTGTGGCACCTTAAAGACTAACAAATTTATTTGGGCATAAGCTTTTGTGGGCTAGAACCCACTTCATCAGATGCATGGAGTGGAAAATACAGTAGGTAGGTATAAATACACAGCACATGAAAAGATGGGAGTTGCCTTACCGAGTTTGGGGGGGGGAGGGGAGAGGAGTCAGTGCTAACAAGGCCTGATCTCTACAAAAAATCATTTTCCCTCTGTTGATACTCACAATTTGCAAACTGGACACCATTAGATTACGCCTGAATAAAGACTGGGAGTGGTTGGGTCATTACAAAACTTAAACCTAAATTTCCCCAATACTAATTTCCCCCTACTGTTACTCACACCTGCTTGTCAACTGTCTGAAATGGGCCACTCTCATTACCACTTCAAAAGTTATTTTTCCTCTCTTGGTATCCTGCTGTTAACTGAATTGTCTCGTTAGACTGACCTCACACTTGGTAAGGCAACTCAAATCTTTTCATGTATTTATACCTGCTCCTGTATTTTCCACTCCATGCATCTGATGAAGTGGGTTTTAGCCCACAAAAGCTTATGCCCAAATAAATTTGTCAGTCTCTAAGGTGCCACAAGGACTCCTTGTCGTTGTTCTTTTTATATCAAAAGGGTCACTCCTGGACGAGTATGGAAAAACTAGCCTACATTTTCAAGGCTTCCCCTCACTAGGATCTGCCCTGGTCTGGCTGGTTGCTTATCACTTCCTTGAACTGCAACCCAACTCCCTTTGCAGCTTCCTGGCCTCTGAGTCCAACCCCTTTCCTACAACAAGTCTGTTGGTGACTCTGTGCAGACATTCTTTGCCTCATGCACTCAAGTATGGAGCCAATCTAAAACACATGGATACTCCCACACTGAGTGGGTGATTTAGCATGCTAACCACTTAGGCTTCTATGCTACAGGTTATACAACCCAGAGTTATGACAAACTTTACTGGGAATGTTGCAACAACTTAGTAAAAAGCATTTCCATAATGGTGAACAATGATTCCTCGGTAGAATGCTGGCAGAAGAGGCTGTGACTACTGATAAGTTTGGACCTAAATCTTGCTAAATCCAATCTGGGTAGGGCCTTATTTGAACTGGCCAGGGTAACTGAGGAACTAACTAAAACAGATTAACAAAGAAGCCAGCAAAGACCTTATAAAAGCATTTGCCTAATTAAGAGAACTCAGTATTCTCAGTGTACAGAAGGCACTGACTATTCTGCTCTGTTGTCACAGCTAATGACGCTGTTTGTATAGATTTGTGAATTAAAGTTTTTTTAAACAGGACACAAGAAGTATAAAGTATAAGCACACACTTATCCCAGAGCCTCCTAGATGCTCAGCTCTCTTCCTTTTATTACAGAGCCTTAGAAGTGTGAAATAAATTATACTGAAGACAAAGTTAAGGGGATGGGTGATTGGGACCACACAGGTCCTTGAGATATCCTGAAACAGCAGCTCCACATTAGTAAAACGTTTTGGATTTATCTAATGCTATTGTAGAGGGGTTTATATGAAATGTTTTGCCATCTCTTTAAAACACCTATTTCTAAACAGCCAAAGAAAAGAAGATGCTGGGACTTTTCCAAATCTAGGCCAAGTACAAGGAGCAAAAAGTCAGTCACCTACACACACAAAAACTGTCTTTTTGCTGTATTTTTCTCCACTCATTTTATGACCTATGAATCTAAACTGGACTAGGTATTTCAGCTAGGAACAGAAGATAAAATTGGAAGTAGCTATATCACAGGTACACCAGTAGGCAACATACTGAAGCTAAGGCAGGAAAGGAAGTTAAAGCTATTGATGAACTGATTAAAGAAAATGGTAACTTATAAGCTATTTTCAAAGTGTTAAAATCCTCTATACATTAAACATTTCTGGTGCACCAGGGAAAGAAGGAGCTACAGATCTGATATTTGTGGACAAATGACTCTCCAAGAAATTAAATAATGAGCATAACCACCCAATTTATACAAATGAGCAAATTCTAAATTCAGCCTTACTTGTTCAGTCCCAGCAAACTCTCCTGTCATGCTATCCATCCTGAGACAGAAGAATTAACACTGAGAAAAATCACACAGTCCAGAGTCTTAACTGCAGCACAATTAATATATGTCTGGCTATGACACATGCTTACTTCCCACTAATTCTTCTCCCAAGGAATTAATCTAACATTCCAAACACCATTGTCTATTTAAAAAAAATAAAAAAATAGTGGACCTGTTTCCACCCTCCAGCTATGGAATTTCCTCCCCAAAATTTACATCTGCTCAAATCTCAGGATGGACCATTCTTTCCTGTGCAAGCTACAGCTTTTTCTATACATTAAAGTCACAATTTTGAAGTCCATTACCTTGAAATCCTGTAGTGCAAAAAAAATTTGAGTTTATTCTATGCAGTAAGGAAAATGTGTTTCCCCAATGGGACCCAGCACTAGCTTCTAGCCACAAAAGGGCCTGAGACAACAGGCTTTAAATAGTGACATGTTTAGGTCCAGAAATGCTACTTTGTCATTTTTCGATTTTTGTAGCTCCTCTAAACTCTGCCCACTGAGCTTCAAGACAACTAAGGCACCTGACTTTACAGATGGAAAACAGTTCCAATAATGTTTTTCAAACTCTCTCAAATGCTTAGCTTTTGCACAACTAATGATGAAGTGGCATAAAAGATTTTAGCAATGCTTCTTTGGGCTGATCTTATGACTGTTGCACTTATGACTTCACTTAAAGTAATATGTAGTACTCCCAAACTCCTGCTGATAAAGTCTTTATATGCCATTATCACGTGTTACATATAGTAACCTATTATCTGTTACTAATACTTAGCTTTAATTTCTTACAAACAGATGTAATTTTATATTGCATTCTAGACACACCTGTCAAGGCTGATTCCCCACTCTGGCACTTTGAGTGCAGATGGTGGGGGCACGCAAGGATTCTAAAAATTAATACTGCCCACTCCAGGCTTGTATTAAACTCCCAAGGTTACAGCTTTTGTCTGACATTGGATGGGTAGATGCTGCCACCACCCAATTGCAAAACCCCTTTGAGAACTGAGGAAGGCGCACTTGGGAATTCCTTCCTGTGCGGTACCCTCAAGCCCTTTCACCTCTCCTCCGGGGAAGAGCTGAGAAAGAAAAACAAAGGAAATCAGCTGTTGCCACCAGCTAATTAAACAACATGTGCACAAACCTCTTAGGACACAAAAATCCAATCCTGTTCTTAAAAAAAGGTAAATTTTATTAAAAACAAAAAGAAAGAAAATACATCTGGAAACTCAGGCTATTGCTAGATTTAAAAAACCACTTATAAGGATTAAGCATAAAGAATAGTTTTCTTGAGGTCCAGTTAATAGGTTATCAGCAAAACAAAAGCACCTGGGATTAGCACACAGGAATCTACAAGCCATAAAGAAATAAAAAGAGATAAACCTAACTGCGTCTTTCCTAGTCATTTCCTAATCTACTTACATATCTGGGATTTCAAATGAGTAGTTTCTAGGTATGATACCCATGATTTTTCATACCTGGCCCCAAGCTTCTTACAGCATAGTTTTTTCACAATTTTCTTCACAAACTGTCATCAGATTAGGCCAGTTCTTGATATAGTGCTCAAAACAGTCCACTGCTGAGTTCCATCACACATCTTGTGGGAGAGTTAGCTTGGTTCCTCCCACTTTTTTCAGAGCAGCTGCTGCAAAGTGGTTGTTACAGAAGTATTTTGCAATTTCAACATCATTAGCCTTTCTTTCTGGAACACTGAAATCTTTGGCTAGGAGGTGCATCAAATGGAGCACTGTAGCCATATATCAGGGGTTCTCAAACTGGGGGTCGGGATCCCGCAGGGGGTCGCGAGGTTATTACATGGGCGGTCATGAGCTGTCAGCCTCCACTCCAAACCCCGCTTTGCCTCCAGCATTTATAATGGTGTTAAATATATAAACAAGTGTTTTTAATTTATGGGGGGGGGGAGGGTCGCACTCGGAGGCTTGCTGTGTGAAAGTGGTCACCAGTACAAAAGTTTGAGAACCACTACCATATATTATTAGCTTGGGACTCTCTTCACTCTCTTCTAAATAATTTCTTCTCATCTTGGATACATTTGCAGCATTGTCTGTGATCAATGTGCTAGACATTTGAATTTTTTTTTCCACAGTTAGTTATAGCTTTTACTGCTACTTCTTGTAAGTATTCTGCTGTGTGTGCATTTCCTGATGTATCAATTGTTTCTGTAAGGAAGACATTCCCTTCTTCTGTTGTCACACAAGCACATACAACAGGATCATCGTGGACATTGCTCCACCCATCAAGTCTCAGCTTCCTGCAGCTCCCAGTGGCCAGGAACGGCAAACCGCAGCCACTCGGAGCTGCGAGTGGCCGTACCTGCAGATACTCAGGTAAACAAAGCGTCTTGCGGCCCGCCAGGAGCTTACCCTGAACAAGCAGTGAACCAAGTTTGGGAACCCCTGCTCTAGACCTTTTGCCCACTGTTCAATTTCTCTTTCATACACTTTAAGCCAAAGGCCAGCATCTGCAGCCAGAATCCAGGGCCGGACCTTGAAGCCCCATGACTGAAGCCTGCTGCCTGCCACTCCAGGGCTGAAGCCCGAAGCCAGAGCCTCACCACACCCAGGAAGATGAGGAACTCACTAGCTGCCTGCTTCTATGACGTTTGTGGCTCCAGAGGGGGGCAGGGCCCAACACCTGCTGGTGGCCCTGAAGGAGGGGCCATTGCTTTCTCCCTTCCCCACCCCCAGTCACTGCCCAGGAAGCTGTGGCCACAAGAAAAGCCCCTGGTGGCTGCATGCGGCCACAGTGGCCGCATTTGAGAAATGATGATATAAAATAACCCAAGCAAATAT